TATGAGGTCTTTGAAGAATTTTTCACATAAAATATCACAGTTTTACTCAAGCTCTCCAAGTAGTTTAAAAAAGATTATAGCTGAACATTTATTTATTTAAAAAAAAGTTATACAGTAGTTCTTTGGTTATCGCGAGGATTATGTTCCAAATACCATCGCGATAGGTGGAAAATCACGAAGTAGGAACGCTATATTTATTTTAGTATTTATATATATTTTAAGGCTTTATAAATGCTTCCCACACTCTTGCAATATCTTTAATAATGTTCTAAATTCTTAAACCTTCATAATTTTAACAACATGAGTATATGTACTGTACAGTACTGCAAACATTTACAAAGGTACTCACCAGTGAAGATACTATTACACCTTGAAGGATGACTTGAGCTTCAGGGTTATTTGAGATTTTCCTGCCAGTTCTATGTTCTTAATAGATGGATCATTACTTCTGACTTTACATTGTAAAACTATTTTTACCACCTCAGTTTTGCCACTAGTGTTTGCTACTTCCATTGCTGTTCTTTGAATCGCGGCAGAAAGCAGAGGCCGGAAGCAGTGTTGGCTTCTGGGCTGTGTAGTTCTTTTGACTTGCATTACAGTGTAGGCTTATTGAAAGAGAACTACAAAATGGCAGCGCCTGTCCGAAGTATTGTTTTGTTTTATGTCCTATTGGTTGGTTTCCGCTCCCGTTAACTCTTTATCCCGTACCGTCCCAATCGCGTGAGTAATATTAAAGTTGGTAGTCGTGTGTCATGTACAAACTTGCGTTGAAAACCCACGAAAGAGTGAATCTGCGAATGTCGAACCGCGAAGTATCGAGGTACTACTGTAATGACTAAAAAGTATGTGATCCTTTAAGAGTAGTAATATTTTGAGAGGAAGAATTAGAGCCAGTTCTTGTTCATCAGAACAGAAACATGATTTATATGCATCTATCCTGCATCTGAGTTGATTAAAATAAAGTGGAACTTCATTTTGTTTAAATGATGCAATGCAATGACAGGCGTTTAATTTGCCTACTCTCGTTTGTTAGACTTTATTCTAGCTGATCATCTTTAAGGTATTTAGCATGGATATAGTAAATAAATAATTAAAAATGATGTTTAGAGTGTCATTTATTTGCTGTTCAAAGCAGTTTACTGTCCTGGCATGAGGTTGTTGCAAGCAGTCAAATCCAGTCTGTTTTCTTACAAAGTAATTTGTCTCTATTCAATCCATAAATGTATTTGGAAACACATGAAACTAAAGGATAATTTGGTGAACAGATGGCTTATTGAACTTACAACCAAATCATATATAAAACAAAACACTCTGAATGTCCATAAAGCTCAGTAAGCTAAACTTGTCCAACAAACTCTTTGAACCTTTCTCTGGGAGGCAACAGCATATTTCCACACATGCGATGCATCAGTCTTTGTTCTTACTGTACAGGCTCAAGCCTCTTTCTTTGTCTTTCTGTCACAAACTGTTGTGACAAGGTCAGTGTCTTTGTAAGCATCTGAAAACAGCCAAGGATGCTGCTGCCTTATTCAGTCAGTTGCCATGGTGAAAGTGTAGAGACGTATAGGACCGATGGTGGATGACTGAGTGTGTGCCTGTGTGTGTGTGTGTGTGTGTTTGAAACGATACAACTGCTAGTCTAATGGTGAAGAAACAATAAGACTTTCATTTAAAAATACAAGTGTATTCCTGTGAGAAGAGTTTTGTTTGTGTGCCAGAAAATTTTGACGAAATCAAGAAGAATAATTGCTGCAATTACTCTACGTTGTTTGTACAAAAGTACAAAAATTGACATGAAATAAAAATCAAAAGCCAAGGCCAGTCCTCGTTTAATTTCTCTTTATGTGGTTTTATAATTTCATTTAAAAAACTAGTTAAATAAGTGATCGTTTTTATATTAGAGGCCATTGAAAATTTGTATTGATCTACAGCTACAGCCAAGGCTTGAGAGAGTGAGTCTACTCAGTTTCTTACAGAAACATGAACCTCACACACCTTTGTCAGCTCCAGAGGGAGGAGTACAGAGCTCCACAAGCTGCACACGCATCAGTCAGTCACTCTGCAATCCATAAAAATGTCTCCCCGTTCACTGCTGTTAAATTAAAAATGGAGCCTGAAAGCTGAACTTGTTTGCTCAAAGCCAGTGAAAGCAGATATGCTTATTGATTAGTTAGATGCTCTGGATAAAATTTAATGTCTTTTTGCAAATTTTGCTCTTTTCACCTGATTTTTATTGATGTGAATATGTATGCATTTTGTGTTTGAGGAGTTGTGTGCATTGACATATTTAATATATTTTACATTTACTTTTGGCTTAACGACAGTTGCACTCAGTTGTAATTTTTCCAAAGCTAATTACAATTCTGGAACAGTGAACATAGAATTTTTATGTCGTTTTTGTAAATTTTATTGCATGTTGAATTTGAATTCTGTCATTGGGTTGAGCCACAAAGTCAAGTTTATTTTTAACTGTACTCTTAGTGTCTGTCTCTTTTTGCCACGTCGGTTAGTTTCTATATACACTGCATAAAGCAACCTGTCAGCTTGTCTTTACTGGACATTAATCTGACAGCAATTGAATGTATCTGTCATGTTTGAATAATCACCCAGGTGCCTTTACGTACCTTTTTTTGTTGGTTAAACCTGATGACTTTAAAGAAACACATGCACAAATCTCTGTGGTCATATTAATAGAAAAGGCAGCAGTTAATCAGCTGTTCACTGTCAGGGTTTTCTCCCTCAGTCCAGAAATATGCACGTTAGGTTCACTAGCTCTTCTTAAGTGTCCATAGGAACATTTGCATGACTACAGTAGTTAGTCGTCTGTCTTGATTGTTTTTATGTGGCCCTGTGATGGACGGGCGACCTGTTCACCCTGCCTTTCCCCCAGTGACTGCTGGAGATATACTAACACAGAGTTCATGGCTGTTATTATTTGTGGACTTGACAGGTAAAAAATGTTCACAACAGTTTAAAGTGCAGTAAATATAAAACATGAACTAAGTACAGAGTGATACAGTTCCATAAACATCCTTGTTATTCTGCTATTTATACTGTTTATAGTACTGTATTGTTGTTGTGGTTCTTTCAGCTGTTCCTTTATGCAGGGGTCGCCTCAGCAAGGGAACTTGTATGAAATATACAATTGTTATATGCTGGATGCCCTTCCTGACACAACCTGGGCTCAAACCTGCAGCTTCTGGATTACAAGACCGCAGCGCTGACTACCAAGCGTTAGCCCTTTTTGTAGCATTATACCCTTCCTAATATTTAGCTGAATTAAAACTAAAAGCTTTAGACTGATGGCCTTCCTTTGAAAGTGTTGCTCCAAAAAAAAGCATATTTCACATAAACTATAATTTTATTTTTATACTTGATGAAGTGCAGCTAGAGCCAGTAGAATAATAAAAATGTTCTCATAAAAGATTCATTAGGATTAAAGCTCTGTATTTTTTTTTTACATAGATCAGTTAAGGTGGCCAGTTATTCCTTATGAGCTTCTGTGGCTATGATTTGGTTTTTGTGTTTCTTGAGGTCTTAAGGTGTGTCCCTGACACTGTAATATTGTATTCCTCCTATATATATAAAAGTACCTTTAAAGACTAAATAGCTCAATTATGTTATTTTCCCAATTAAAAGCAGGTCTTGGTGAGAGGTCTTTTGTATTTGTGCTAAATACACCCTGAAGTGTTCGTAACGCACTCAGCTTTAGTCATTAGATTAAAGAGGAGTTTTATGTGCTGTCCTCTATTAGCATATAAGAGGCTGGTGTGTTTGTGTGGAACGTCTGGGGGTTGCATTAAAGTGAATGACAGCTCTATTCATCATGGTGCTCAGGTGCACACTGAAGTGAATGCCGAGTGCGTAAAATCCACATCATTGTGTGGCAGAAGCTCATTTACCTTTGCTGAAGTGTTTAAAATTATAAATAAATAAAAAGATTTTTTCAGTTGTAGATTTAAGTGCTCTTAACAGAGTTAATTTTTTTCCCTCACATAACTAAATTTATCAAACCATATTTTATTTGTCTTCTTGATTTCTTCAACTTCTGTTATTAAAAATTTACAGTTTCTCTTTTCCAGTTTAAGATCTTTTATTTTTTATTTTTTTTTATTTTAATTTATTTATTCATTTCAAATTAAAAACACAATAACAATTTCAAAACAAGAGAGTAAAATACAAAACATAAAATGAAAGGCAGCAGAAGAAGAAAAAAAATTTTATGAAAATAAATGGTTTAAAAGATGCAAAAATGTTTAACATTGTTTATTATTTATTGTCATTCAAATTTTATTATACAATAAAATGTTATATGCTGCTCAAATACAGCTCAAAGCTCAAGGATATTTTGTCTTTAAGATTTTCTATGCTAATCTCAATATTTATTAACGATTTTTTGAGAAATTGCTTTACCTTTTAAGTCTTTTTTGCAAAGTAGCACTTTTTTTTAATTATAAGATATTTAAATTATAAAATATTTTTAAAAATTGTAATATATGGATTTGAATCGCTGCCACCCAAAAAAATTTTTTTTAAATAAAATAAAGATGTCAATTTGTTCTAACGTTATATACTCTCTTACTATATATTTTGCATGTTGTGACATGTGTTGAGGTTATTACAAATTACAATAGCAAATATTTTTGTTACCACAATTTTATTCTAGTCTTGTAATAACGTGATAACCTAAAGTTTGAATTTAAAAACAAACACTTTAAAATGGGATAATTGTGTACATACAATGTCAAGCCATTTGTTAAAATGAAACATTTAAATATATATGCATATATTGAGAACAGAAAATACAAATGTACAATAAATTGATAAGAAAAAAGTTATTTAAACAAACTTTTCACATTATAATGGGATGCAGTTCAGTTTATTTTTGCAAAGATGGCAGCAATCTGCTTGTACTTAAGACTGAATCTAAGCTACAACTTTATGAAAATTACTTATAATTTACTCTTGTTACTTTTCTTGTTTATTTCTGAATGTCACAGGTTACTATGGGAAAAGTTGCACTGATGCTTGTCACTTGAATCCTTGTGAAAACGAGGCCCGGTGCCACCGAAAACCAAGCTCGTCTCATGGCTACGTTTGTGACTGCGGAGACAATCATTATGGACAGTACTGCCAGCACAGGTAACACCCCCCCCCCCCCCACACACACACACACACACACTTTTAATTGGTTCAGCGTTGACTTATTCATTGATTTACCTGTGACCTGTCAACACGGTCCGAAGTTCTTTGAAGTTTGAAACCGTTTAATCTGAGTTCAGGCAGAGTGGGTCAAGATGGTCGCCTCAACGTGTTGCCCCACATGATCAGTGTTGTCTGTAATTCACTGTAGGATGGGTTTAGGTGCTAGTCAGAACACACACACACACACACACACTGTGTGTTATAAAGTGAGTTCTTCTGACTTGTGGCACCAAATTTCCTTCCTGCCTGCAAAATCCACTCAGCTGTTGATCTCATGATCTGCTCATCGTCTGAGTTTGTGTGTGTTCAAACGATGTATTTTTCTGATGTAACACAATGACAGCTGATGACAAAATAAAAGCATATTTCTTAATTTCTCCTCTTCCATCTGTGTTACTGAATATTTTATTATCCTTCTTGAGAGATTAAAAAGAAAGGATTGGCTCATTCTGTATACTATAATACTAAGTACCCCAAGTGATACCTACTCACATTAACTATATAGGGCACAAGTCATAAATTGAGAAATAAATCAAGAATCTTTATTAGATATTGTTTTTTATCTTTTAAAAAGTAATAATACTTAAGAGCATCAGTTTACTACAGATATTTCACTTGTTTTGACAGTCTGCTCTTCCTTGTTTGTGCTGTTTCTTCCTCGAGTTATGATCAGACAAGAAGGTTTTCCTTAACAAGACTAGTAGACACAATATCTATAACTGTGATCCTGATTGTGTGTGTTTTTGTGCTTGTAGGATTGATCACCAGTGTCCCAGGGGTTGGTGGGGTTCTCCAACCTGCGGACCTTGTCACTGTGACCCCAATAAAGGTTTTGACCCTGACTGTAACAAGACGAGTGGACACTGTCACTGCAAGGTAATCAAAGAATATACATGACGACTGTCCTTTCTTCTTATTGACGTCTGATTTTTGTGCTTTGTGCTGATACGTTCATGCAGCCAGTATGTTTAACCCAGATTTATCCCAGCTTTAATCTGATCCTTTGACGTAAGCTTTATACTCTTTAACAATAACCTTTTGATTTAAACCCTAACCCATTCATTGCACCCCCACACAAAAAATGCAGACAGATCCCTATCAGCGGCTACAGAGAGCATTTTATTGACTTACTTTGTTTCCTGAAGACTAAAAGCACTTACAGATGTGATATATTGAATCTGACTGAATAGTCTACATGTGGTTTTCCTCACACATCTCCAGTGTTGCCAGTGTTTTCTCTCAAGGTTATGCCCCTTTTTCCACAGCACTTACAAGTTCTTCCAAGTGGCACTTGTTTCTGCAACAAATCCAATTTCTACAGTTCTTACAGCTAATTTAACATTGAAGTCATAATTTGAATTATTTTCCCACATATTTGAGACCCACAGACAAGAAGTATAGCCCAAATACTGTACAACTAAAAATATTTTATAATATTATACTGTAGTTACAAGCTTAGACGGTGTTATTTTTTTCTAAACACAAAAGTTGCATACCCTTTACAATGTGTCAAATAATGCAACTTTCCATCATTTTAATTTTAACCATAACTTCCCAAACTTAAATGTACACATACCTCTTCTACAGTTTTATCAGACTTTTGGGTGAATTATCTGAAACTACATCAATACTGAAATGTCTCGTTTTTATTTCACCCTATTTGTGCCGCAGGTGTTGATATACCTACTTTTTTAGATTTTTCTACCTGGATTATTGAGCATGCATCAGGATATATTGATATACCTACGTACTACATCTGTTCTGAGCATTTGTTTTACAATAATCTGACATAGAATTGTGTGTCAGCCTGTAAATACTCTGTCTTTGTTCGTTCAGGAGTTTCATTACCATCCTCGAGGCTCTGACAACTGCCTGCCGTGCGACTGCTACCCAGTGGGCTCCTTTTCGCGGTCATGTGACCCCGAAACAGGCCAGTGTCAGTGCAGGCCTGGTGTGATTGGTCGCCAGTGCAACTCATGTGACAACCCCTTTGCTGAGGTGACAAATTCAGGCTGTGAAGGTGAGGAACAAAGCTATATAATTTATTTTCATTTGTTTCTTTAGCTCACCCACTTTGAATGTTATTAACCATGACCGTTGTTAATTGTTATCATCCCCACTGGTTGCATTTAGACTGTCCTTCCTGTACCTTTTTTTTTTTTTAAGAAAACTTTATTTATCCAAAACAAGTACAAACAAATATGGCGATTCACAATAGTGTAAATCTAAAAAGGAAATAGTGGAGGCATACTTAGATATGGGAACATCAAGGCAAAAACTGATTAAAGAATGATAAGGTAAAGTAAATAAAAAATAATTAAAGAATAAATAAAATAAACTACAACAAGGGGGGTATATATATTTTAGGATTAGGATTAGCATGTATTATTGGGCAATTCCATTAACATAATCTCCTGTACCTCCTAGTAGGCTTAAAGGTATGCATTCTTATCACTGATAATAGGGTCAGGGGGTTAGGTTAAGGGTCAGCGTTAGGTTAAGGCTCAAGGGACAGGGGGTTAAGTTTAGGATCAGTGCTCTGAGTCAGGTTAGGTTTAGGAAAAGGGTTATATGAAGCTAACCCCAAAAAAACAAAAAAACTTCTAGGTTTAGACACGGGCGAAGCTGAATATTATCAGCGATAAGAACATACCTTTAAACCTACTAGGAGGTAGGAAGGACAGTCTGAACACTACTTATGGGAATGATAACAACTAATAATGATCATTTAATGGGCTAACAATCAAAGCTGCCGTTTGGCTTCTTCCTTGTTTGTTTTTGAAACTGTGAAATTATCAGGGAAGTGTCTGAACTCAAACTTTGACTTTAACTCATTGATGCATTTTCAAACCTACTTGGGTTCACTGGCGGCACAGTGGTGCAGTGGTTAGAGCTGTCGCCTCTTAGTGAGAAGTATTCAGGATTGCCTCCTGGCCTTTCAGAGTGGCGTTTATGTTCTTTCCTTGCACTCGTGGGTTTCCACCAGGTACTCTGGCTGAATCCCACAAACCAAAAACATACATGTTAGGTTAACTGGTAACTAAATGATCCCTAGGTGTGAGTGAGAGTGTGATTATCCAAACTCTGGCTCCAATAGTCAAATTTATTTGTACAAAGTAAAATACAAGAACCAACTTTTACAGATAATGTTTAAAACAAGTTTAAAGCTCAAAATGAGCTCCAGATGCAAACAAAACAAAGAATGAATAAGTTTAAAACACACTCACTAAAATAGATTTATGTTGTTTTGTCTCATTTTAAATGCTGTTCTTTCTGCAGTTATTTATGATGGCTGTCCAAAGACCATCACTCAGGGGATCTGGTGGCCTCGGACCAAGTTTAACCTGCCTGCTGCTGTCCCCTGTCCCAAAGGCTCTGTTGGTGTGTACACACAGACAGTGCAGCCTCATGTCCTGTTCCTGTAGGAAGTCATTTGTAGAGCTTTGTGGTTCTGCTCCATTTAGGTGCAGCTGTCAGACACTGTGATGAGGAGAGAGGATGGCTGGAGCCGGATCTTTATAACTGCACCTCGCCTCCGTTTGTGGAGCTCGGCATTGCTGTATGTTCAGTACTGTTCACTTCTGACTCATATCACCACTGGTGTAGCCAAATTACACATTTCAAACATTTATTGCATGTTTCCATATACTAAAACAAATAGTATTAATTTGGAAAAAAAAAAAAAATTACAATTTGTCTGATAATTTCAACTGTAGGAACTTGTTTCTGTTTTTGCTGTAATGAAAGGTGCAGAACTTTCTTGATATTTTTAGATGTCATTTAAAAACTTTTAAAGTAGTGATTTGATGTCATAAAGAAAATATTTTATTCAGCAACCAAGATATCATTTTTAGGCATGCTCATTATACGTTCAGTTCTACCAAAAATATAAACAAACCATGTCAAAGAAGCATTGCATGAAAAAACGGTTTCTTTAACCACTCTTTGTTTTGTGAACTAGAAACATCTACTTTACTTTACTTGCTGTTGTTGTCGTATTACATTTCCATAAGAGATGCCTGATCCTGTATTTATTTATTTTAATGTGTAGCTTGATTCCCTCGAGCGTAACGAGACGGAACTGAACACCATCTTGGAGAAGAAGTTGGCTCACCAGCTCCGGGACGTTACTGAAGCCACCGCCCGGCTCTATGGGAACGACTTGCAGATCGCTGAACGACTGCTCTCCCGCCTCCTGACGTTTGAGACTCAACAGAGCGGTTTTGGACTCACTGCCACTCAGGACGCACACTTCAATGAGGTAAAGGCACACTCGGCAAAGTTACACGACTCTTTGATTTGTTACCAAAGAGGCTGTGTGTTTTACTTGAACTGATTTTAAAACTATTATAAGCAAGACAGGACAGAAAGGCTTAAGTTTATGCATTTACAGTATATGCCATTTTAAAAGTGATCTGTTGTTGCAGCAAAATGATCTTTTTGGTACTGAAACATTGAATGCATCAACATGGTAAATGAAATGTCCACTTGCTCCGTGGACATCCTCATAATTATTTAGCTCTGTTGGTTTTAATGAGTGAAAGATTGATGTTAGTGATAAATTTTTTTTGGCCAGTTTAAATGATAACAACGGAACAAGTTATTCAACCTAAAATGGCTTTCCCAACCATACTAAATCAGTTTTTGACTTTATGTTCTCGAATATGATATGGAAAAAGTTATATATTAAATACAAAATAAACCTTCACGATATATTACTGATGCAAACTTTACTTGTAGATATAAAAAGCCGCTGTTCCTGAACACCACATATGATTTGGGCTGTTCAACTAAATTGCTCACGGGGTCACAGTTACAGAAAGCCAAGAGTTCAGGGGCCGGACATCCATCAATTATTGTCATTAAATAAGTTTGTTTTATGGCTTAAAATCTAGTTTTATTTCAAAAGGAGCCCAGTGGTGAGCCAAACTGAGTTCGACCGTGGGCCTGATTTGGCCCCCGGGCCACCAGTTGAGTAACCCTGATTTAGAGACTGTAATGTTTAAAAGTACAGAATTGTATGAGGAGATATTAAACTGGGATGTCTGCTCTCTGACATGGAAAGCTCAGTTGCTATGGGACTGTGACGACGACTCCTGAGATGTTGCAACATGTCAACTCAACACTTTAAAAGACACAAGCTCATATCACCTGGCGCCGCGCCGTCAGATGATAGCATACAAGCTGACACAAATCACTTTAGAGAGTTGATGTTTTCACATCACAGTTATTCCACTTTTCCATAAATTTGATAATCTATATGAAATTTATGTAACAGAAAACGAGACGATCATAAATCAAATAGCTGAAGAAGAATATAATACCTTTCTTTCCATTTAAATTTATTGTCAGACATGCATAATTTACTCATTGTTTGCTATGATGCGAAACTGAGTCTCTTTTTTTATTTGGTTACATCATTTTTGATCTGTTTTGTCATTCATATTATGTCACACAGCAGTTTAAAGCATTGTTAAAAGCAGAGCCAGTGGTAGTGACGATGGTATTTTGTGGCATTTTTGTTTGCAGCAGGGGGAGGTTTATGCTGATAAATGGTGATTTGACACCACCTGTTTTTTCTGTCATATCTTAGGCTGATCATTATCTAGGCAGTAATTTATTCATATTAACAAGGGGTGCAGCGAGAGATAAAAAGGATGCATTTCTTTCAGTTGACACGCAAAGAGGAAATAATTAGTTTCTACTAAAAGGCAGAATTTTATCCAGCTGACAGCTGAAGCAGCAGTGGCCACTCCCTGCAGAGTCGAAACCAACCAAGAAGATAAAAAACAAGAAGAAAACTGAGGATTTTAATCGTATAGACTGAGCAATTAAGTCTTGTATGAGTCTGTTTGGGTGCTTGATTTTCTTAATCCGTGAATTTATTGAGGTGAGTTATTTGCGAAGCAGTTCAACATTAGAAATTAAAATCCATCCAAGTTTTTTGAGGTGTTATAAGATTTTCCCACGATCGTGTTTGCGCTGTAAATTTTGGCTTTACAGTCTTTTTTTTTAAATTTACCCTTTGATTTGAACAATTCAAACCACATTTGTCTGATCAAATACACACTTCTTTCATTTATATTTGCACACCTATAAGGATCTTTATCACATTTACTATATTATGGCTTCATTTTAAATAGTGGTAGAAAAAGATTTTTAAATTATTTGGGTCCCCCAGACTAATGCCAAATACAGTGTATTGCTTCATGAGACCAACAAAATGATTATAACCTGGCAAAGACGGTTGTTATGACAACCAAGCTTCAGCATAAATTATGTCTCGCATCGAGGGTCTCATACTGCCTGACATTGAATTTAAGCTGCCAGTGAATTAGAATTATACCTATTAGGGTTTGACAATTGGCCAGCTGGTTTAACAAAGTCAAATAGCTGCCGTAGTAAAATAATATATTTTTATTGTCATTTTGATAATTTTGGAAGTGATTTGTCATTTAATCTCTGCTTCTAGTTATAAAATAGTTGTGCTATTGTCATCTCATCTCAAGAAGTTAATGAGGTGGCATCTCTGCAGCAGAGTCCACTTCTTATTTCTCAACAACACAAAAGAATATACATCTGATAATGGCCAACACCTCAGTTTAAACAGCATCCATATAACTGGATGAACAGGTATTGCAGGACACAGTTACTATAGTAACCCCGTGGCGATACCAGATTCTTTGAGCTGCAGGAAAGAAGGATGAAGGCAAGGAGGAAAGTAGTTCTCTGATCAGGAATGTTGTGCTGAATGAAGGAAGGTGAAAACGTTTCATGTTGAAACTGAACTAAAACATTTATTCGCTGACAGGTGATGGTGTCTTAGGACAGATTTAGTTTGTTATAAAAAATGTGTCAGATGTTGTAATTTAGCACAAAAAAAAAAAAATTTCTCCAGATATTATAAAAGGCATCCACTAGTACAATGTGTTGTGCAGGTTGGTTTTGAAATATTTTTTTTTTCTCTTATAAAATAAAAGGTGATCTCAGAAATAGTTTGAAACTCACATGTGATTAAAAAAATGATTTGTTCCAAATAGTTTGTATAAGACATTTAAAAATAAACACCTTCTAGACATGGTGCCAGAATTTCAGCCTGTCATCTGTTAAAAACATTCACTTTTACTACACTAAAATCAAATTGTTTATTTTAAATGTAATTTTAATATAATTAAGTTAAAGTAAAAAAAAATAATAATAATGCATTCCACTGAAGCCTCAACTAAAACTGGAAGAAAAATAATTTAAACTAATGTTTAAGCTGACAGACTGGTAGATTGTGAGAAATCCTTACTTAAATAAAACCCCAACAAAAACGTTTCTTTTTATTAAAATATATATATATTTACTACAAATAAATCAAATAGGTGCAAAATGTCTGCCACTTCATGCACAGAGTTTATACTGTAAATATTTAAACTTTAAAATTCTCATTTGACAGATTTTCAGGCAAATTAAGAAAAACAATCTTAAGTTTTGTCTGCTGCCTGGTTTAAACTAAGAACACTTTCAGGTCACGCTGACTTTGTGTCAACTTGTACTGATCTAATAAAGAACCCATTTTTTCTGCTTATAAGAAAAACTGAGTCTTTTCACCTTTACAATGACCTGATAATGATTATTAAGTTGGGCATTTGCTGATCAAACAAGAAAATCTTATAGAAGCATGAATATGCTGTTTGTTGCAGAAACCAGGTCACTGGGCCATTCTGTAATAAAATAATGAATTTTGTTGAAGCTATAACATAAATTTAAATTGTTATTTGAACAAGAACATGAAAAGCCCCATTTATAATGTTCTGATTAAACACTAAAATCAGTATGCTAAAAATAAAAAAAATAAAAAAACTGGACAAGAATTGATAAAAAATTTATAAGAAAACTAAATAAATACAAACACTACTGTGCATGTGAGCTGACTCATTGTCACAGTAGTATGTTGCCGTGTACACCTAACTTCTGAAAATATGTTACAAAACTTTTCTCAACTTCTAATCACAATAAAAAGTACAAGTCCTTCAACAGCAGAAAATCAGGTACATACAGCGTTTCTTTGTTTCTGAGCTGCTGATTTGACATTTGTCTTATTACACTTTTCTTCCTGCCTATATGTGTTTTGTCTTACTTCTCCTTCATTCTGTCATTTTTATTTGTACGTAATTCCCTGAGCAGTTTACAACCTTCTTCTTATAGTGCACTGTATGTAATTTCCCTTGTTTGTCTGAAGGTTGCTTTATGTATTTTGTCTCCCCTGATCCCTGCACACTGCAGTGTTTTATTAGCTTTAGTTCAGATTGACTGCGAGGAATCATAAAGTTCTTATATTGCTCTTGTTCAGAGCATTTTTTCATTGTTCACGCCATTCTGTCTCTAACGAGATTTTTCCAGGGTCACAAATTTTCCTTGAAAAGAAATTACAGGCGACGGTGGTAAAACTTGCTCTAATTGGGATCTAGACTTATCTGGTTTGACATTTAGCTTACTTTTTTCTTTTTTTTTTTACTGTACTTTTGGTTAAAATAGCTGAACAAAATGTTTTACATCAATGTTAGCTTCTCCTGTCTTCAAACTGGACCCGTTTCCAGCTCTAATTTATCAGTTTCACTCAGTATTGGTCTTCTGTCTCTGAAATCTGGTTTTAGTTTTAGGTTTTCTGTAAACTGATGTGTTAAAAAGTACAAAAAATAACTTCCTTCATCACCAGAAGTCACATTTTCATGTAGGACGTCCAAGTTTTTCCACTTTCAAACAATATAAAGCAAACATGTTATTAATGCCATATCTCAGGTGGAATATTTAATTATTTTGTGTTAAGGTTTATACTGAATGCATGCAGGGACTAGTTTTTGCAGACGAAGAGTTAAAAATTATAATTAAAGAAAATGTTTCATACACTAAATTTATGGAACAAGAGTACCACACAGTAATCTGTTAAAATAATGAAATGTTGCATAAATAAATAATGAGTGAATAATATCAGTAAAAAGCACAGTTTTTGATTTAAGTTGATACAAAACTGATTTGGATTTTGAAAATGTGTTTGAACCTTTGTCCCGTTTTATTTTAGCTAACTACACCATCAGTATTGCGATTCTCATTTTTCTTTTGGTTTCTTTTTTGCTTTTCATGTCTTCTGTGAGAACACTTCTGATTTTCATTATGTTTTTTATTGTCCTATTTATTCTCATAACAATTTAAGTTGGTATTTAGTCATTTTTTTTGCAGAATGTAATGATGAAAAAAGTCTTGCATACCTCTCAGCATGGCTTTTCTGGTTTCTAGTCATTCATCAACAATAATTAGTTATCAGATACACAAATAAGCATATTGTGTTTCTCAGTGGGCTCTTTTAAAACCACATCTGGAAAAACAAGTGTTTTGGTTAAAGACTTTAGATCTGAACAAATATGTAAAAATAAATGTGGATCGCTTTTTGTGAGAGTAGTAAGCCTAAATGTTATTATTATTATTTTTTTTTAATAAACTTTTAAAAGGTGTTTTCAAATCTCCAAACCATATTTGATATTCTGGTTTCTTTTTGTTATCTCTGAAAGATTTTATTTTTTTAAAATATACATTTTTATTTTTATTTCTACAAAAATAAACAAATATCACTTTTTTGGAGATAATAAAACTTGTAACCCTTTAAACCTCATGACAGTCAATATTTCTTTACTCCATTTGCTTTTGGAATTGTTAAGGAATTTTTGGTCAAAGGTTGTGAATTTTTTTTATTTATTACTATGGCTGAAAATCTTAACTCTGCCCATGAATCATGTGTTTGGGGTAGCAGAGAGAGCTGGATGAGGAGCTGGATGAGGAGCTGAGTGAGGCCGCAGCTGTCAGCCAATGACACCAAGTTCTGTGAACTCGGCTGAACTGATAAGGGTATAAAAACAAGCTGAGAAGGCAGCTCGGGGCAGATTCTCATGACTGGTCTATATGTGTGTACTTTATGTATATTTGTATAACCTGTCCTGAAAATCTGACTTTTCAAGTAAATACCGCTTAAAAATCTTCTTCAATCGAGTGTGGTTCTTTTAGCGCAAGTAAGTTAAGAGAGAACATTCTTCTCCAAGAGTAACTCTTCAACTTTTCTGTTTCCAGAACATCCTGCGAGGTTGCAGCGTACTGTTGGGTCCCGGCACCTCTGGGCTTTGGCGAGCTCTCGCTCAGAGCCAGAACCACATCCTGGGTGGTGGTCCGGCTGAACTGACGGAGCTGCTGGAACAGTACACAAAGAACCTGGCCCAGAATATGAAACTTACCTACCTCAACCCTGTGGCCTTGGTCTCACCCAACATCGGTGAGTTTAGAATGATGCCACACGTGCAGACGCTCTTCATATCCAATAAGCATGACTAAGACAGAAACAAACCTCTAATCTTTAAAGCTATTTGGCTTCAGTTTTCTTATAACAGTATAAATCTTTGCTGTGAAATCCACTAGAATGACTCATTATGAAACAGGAGATGAACGACGTTAATGCAAAGAACGACGGCAGAACCAGAGTGTTGGCGGGAACACAAAACCATGAATTTCACACTCCCACACAGGCGTCGCAGCTAATGCTTTGTGCGCACGCATAAAAACCTTGAGGCTTCGCAGCACTAGCCAAATTACACCATTTGAATTAACAGATGCCAGACATACAGAACACACACACAGATACACACAAAGAAACACGTGAAACCCTGTAATACTGACATTTACTAATAGTGGTAGTAAAAATGCTGATCTGGACCACACACTGTGAGAAAAGGTGTTTAAACCTTAACAACGGTAGTTTTATCTAATATAAAATGAGTGTCAGTCTACATTTCTGGCAAAGGAGGCGGGCAATATAAAATCCTTCAAACGAAGGTTAAAATAAGTTCAACTTGTGTGTGCAGCTAAAAATATTAATGATCATTTAATGTGGAGACATGACAGAGTTGTAGCCATTTTGTCAGATCTTGAACATATAATTATGCACAATTTCACGTGTGATATCTCACAGGATCTTGTGTGATCTGTTAGAGCTTGAAAAATGTGTTGTGATAGCCATTGTTGTGTAGACTGAGTGTGGTTATCTGTGGTGACCATGCTGGGTCAACCTAGAGACTATACCTCTGAAGTTTTATTTGGTTCTGTTCTAGGGCTGGACAATAATTTGATATCGATAGATGTCGTGATATACTTTTATTCAGTAACGGTGATATGAGTTTTTAGCACATTTTCGATATTTCGATATGATTACAGCATTTCTTTTTCTGTTCGGGTTGAAGTGGCCGCTTCATTTTCAACCTGAACAGAAAAAGCTGCGACACAACTACTTTGTACGTCAGTGCGTGATGGCGTAGATGTTACGCAGAGCTCCAGTCCAGAAGGCGTTAGCGGTAGCAGGCTAGGCTAGGCTAAACTCCGACACGCGTTAAGTTTTTGCTTCAAAATGAGTGCCCATGACCGTCAGAATGTGGCTGAACAAGCTTTCGCAAGTGAAGAGAAAGGAAATGACATAATTGACAAGAAAGAAAAGACTACATTGGCAGTGTGGAAGTGGTTCGGCTATGTAAGATCCGATAAACTGCAGGTTTCAGTGTGCTGCAAAATGTGATGGAGAGTCGTTCCAGCTCGTGGTGGGAACCCATTTAACTTGTTCCACTCGATAGAATATGCTGAGTCAGACGATGGAGCACAATAAAAGTTTGAGCCAACGTGTCCCTGAAACAACACGCCCAGCTGTATCAAAAGAGAAACCCATGCAGCAAACGCAGACATTCTATTTCATATAGGCTTCGCCCTTTAAGGCTGTCGCTGATGGGTTTATCCCGTTATGCAGAGCATAAGCACTGAAAAAATTAGTCCACGCCCACCTGCTGTGTGGGCCCCACCCGGTCCGTATAAATTACGTTAAGAGCGGGAAATCGGCTCCCATTTTTTCTTCAGCGAGCTAATATAGCACTGTCAGAAGAACAAAGAGGATAAATTGTGTAAATGACCAACCTTTGTGAAGGATGCTTGGCCCGGCAGTCGACCTCCGGTCGTCCGGTGAGTTCTCCTCCCCGAGGAGAAGATGACGAGCAGTCTTATTCCAAGGTAAGCGTCGGGGAACATTTCCCAGTGACAGGTCACTACACGCTGGACAACGCCATCTTGTATTTTTTCCTCTTATCGCCGACCCTCGGGGCGAACCGGATGGTTCCTCCGGGGCAAGGCGTGCTCAGCTGCAGCCCCCGCTGCTCATTCCCTCCTGGGGAGCGTAGTGTAGGTGGAGGGGGGGCTGAGTGAATGCTCACCCCATCCCACCTCGTTTCGCATCAGCGATCACACCGCTCCCGGCCGACAGCGCCCTCACGGTTGCCCGGCGGAACCCAGGAGGAGGCTGACATGAAGGGACCCCTTTTTTCTACGTCCCTTGCCTTTTCCCGCCAGTTCGGATGATCGGCGGGAAGGTTGTTTTTCACTGGGCTCCACTGTGGCTCACCGTCTTGATCCATACGGCCTCGCGTTCCAACAGGACGTCCGACGGGCGAGGCCACAGACGGTTCTTTCCTGGTAGATTGGAGGAGTCGGTCCCCAGTCCGCTCCTATCACCAGAGTTGAGGGATTCACCGAGCGGGGCTATTCCTCGGTAACCCCCCTGGAGCCAAGCCTCGCGGAAGCTTCCGGAGCGAAGCTGCCCAGGTCGGAGCAGCGTCCCGTCCCTCCGGAGGAACACGAACCAGACGGCGACCACGCTCTCCAATCGAGCCCACCGATGTGTTTTCAGGCAGCCGCAGTTAGCAACAATGTGCGCTGCTAGCATATAGCATGTCCAAGGGACTGAAGGCCGCAGACCTGCCTTGGAGACAAAGAACTCCCTCTGTAAGGCAGCTGACGCCAGCTCAACATATGTGCCTCTCCTACGGTTTGCCTGTCGAGGACTGCAGCGCGGATGACGATGATCCAACGATCCACCTGGCTTCGTTACTCCCCTCGCTGCCGGAGAAACTGCACAAGACCTGATGAAGCCCATCGCGGACACGCTGCTCAGAGCAGCTTCAAACCATGCTGGCGAATTGAAACAGTCGGAGGAGGTGCCAGAGGCTGTGCGCCACCTCATCAAGCTGGGCGGCTCATCCCGGCCCGCTGGAGGGACCGTCGCGAGCAAGCTTCGACTTTTCCACGGCCGTGGCTCTCGCTGAGTTCCACCACCAGCCCCGCCCGTCAGAATCCAGCCCTCTTCACTCCGGCAACCTGCAGCTCAGCGTTTCCCCAGAGTTCGCCTGCAAGACAGCGCTCTGGGCAAACAATCGCAGAGCTCATGAGAGAGAAGTTTCTCAAAATGACGGTCTCCGGAGGGTGTGTGTAAAAGTGACACGAAAGTTGAAATAAATCATCATTAATGATCAAAGTGTCTGTTTTTTAGCCAGTCTGTAAGCTCGGATGAGCTCACAGCGGCCGCACACATTAAGAGCCGGTGTCCTTAATAAGGCTTTTTAAACTCACCGCCGCTCCAAGACATTACTAGTCGCTTACAGGGCACGATGGTAAGTGATAATAACTCGTTATAATCCCGAGCTGCACGATTTTCACTCAAGCGATGTCAACTCGCACTCGTGGGATGAAACAGCCCCACACACGAGCCGGTGTCCTTAAATAAGGTTTTTAAACTCACCGTCGCTCTAAGACATGACGAGTCGATCACAGAACAACTTCCACACATGAGCCGGTGTCCTTAATTAAAGGTTTTTAAACTCACCGCCGCTCTAGACATGACGAGTCGATCACAAGGATGAAACAGCCTCCATCCAACGGCGCTGCGTTGATGCTGGCGCACACACACAGCTGCCGGCGCTAACCAGCTCACATCGGTATAAATGTGGTCCGCAGGCTGGTTCGGGTGGAGGTCCTTCTCTTAAACGTGAAGCAGCTAAGAACCCGGTAATGAGTCCCGCCTCCCTCCAGCGCGCGCCCCTCCAGCGAGAGCGGCGCGCGTCCCTCCAGAGAAAAACGTGTGCTCCCGCGGGGCTAGCAGCCTTCACGCCAACAGCGCGGCGTAAATGAAGTCACGCCTTTCAACGTTCGCACAGCGACGTCAAACGCGCAGCCCCACCGCGTCATCAGCTGTCACACGCTTCGCCTCAGCACAAGCCTCGCCTTGGACCACACAGAAAACATTCCCGCGACGCATGACGGCGGTTGAGGGGCGGACTGCTGACAGCCGTACAAAACGTGACACATCACTTAACGCACGTTCACCCTACGAACGTTACGTAGAGTGGCTAAAACATGCTCGCCGTTTTTCAGATGGATGGACAAGGTTTTATGCAAATGGTACAAGTTACAGTTTGCAACCCGAACCCCTCCATTCAGAGGAGTTATAAAAACGGTCCCGTCATCATCAGACTAAATCTCATCCCTAATGCAGAAATCCTAGTGTTTCTGATAAAAGTAATCTACAGAGTCCCCCAACGGAGAGAAAACACAGGGTTTTTTACTCACGGATCGGAGGGGTGAGACCGTTTTTTGGATCTGTTGTATAACATCCAGAGAACGCATACGATCATCCTAACACAGAGACGAGAGTTTTTGTTTTACCTGGATGATCTGCTGCTCCTGTCACTCCAGACAGGAGGCGCTGATGCAGGATCAGGTGTTGACATCACACCTGTTAAATCTGGGCTTCGCCATAAATTGGAAGGAAGCTCGATTTTCCCGGCCCAGACATTTCTTTTTCTGGGAGTGGAATTAAATTCAACCACCATGAAAGCTCGTTTATCACAAACTAGATTCAACACTTTTTTAAAGTCAACTCAGCCACGTAAGACCTGGCAAGTGATAACAGCTGTCTCCGTCATGAAGCTGTTGGGAATGATGTCACCCACACAGTGGTTCCGCTGGTTTGTTACACATGAGACGCCTCCAGAGGTGGTTTTGCACGTCTGCATGTGGATCCAGTAAAACAAAACGACGGATGATCATTGTCCCTTCCTCTGTGAGAGCAGACCTCCGACTCTGGGGAAACACCTTGTTTTCTGTCAGAGGGAGTCCCCCTCAGCAGACCACGTCACACGGGTCAGTCTTCACGGACGCGTCGCTGTCAGGCTGGGGGGGCGGGGGGACATGCCTATCTCAAGCAGTAGGGGCGCTGTGGCCCCACTACACATCAGCCCACATCATTGTTTTGGAGTGTCGCACAGCACTGAATATGATTCAACACTTTGCTCCCGTGCTACAGAATCAACACGTGTTGATTCACACAGACAACATGATGACTGCTGCGTACATAACCATCAAGGGTGTGCGTTCAGCCCAGATGTTACACATTGCGCGAAAGCTACT